TGTTATCAATATTGACCAGGACATGACACAATCATTTCATACAGACTTTTGTTATCAATATTGACCAGGACATGACACACTCATTTCATACAGACTTTTGTTATCAATATTGACCAGGACATGACACAATCATTTCATACAGACTTTTGTTATCAATATTGACCAGGACATGACACACTCATTTCATACAGACTTTTGTTATCAATATTGACCAGGACATGACACACTCATTTCATACAGACTTTTGTTATCAATATTGACCAGGACATGACACACTCATTTCATACAGACTTTTGTTATCAATATTGACCAGGACATGACACACTCATTTCATACAGACTTTTGTTATCAATATTGACCAGGACATGACACAATCATTTCATACAGACTTTTGTCATCAATATTGACCAGGATATGACACAATCATTTCATACAGACTTTTGTTATCAATATTGACCAGGACATGACACAATCATTTCATACAGACTTTTGTTATCAATATTGACCAGGACATGACACATCCATTACTTTTGATTTTATTTATTTGCATATGTAAATACATAAGATCTATTATTTACACTTAATAAATAAAAACAAATTGATCTTTTCTGATTTATCTCCAATGTGATCATGTTTTTGTTGATCAGTGTAGCATGTCCCAGGATGACAAAGAGTTATGATTTTACTAAGCCATCAGTTAAAGTATAAAAATTTTCCTGATGTATGAAAACAAATCTCAGGTCCTAATCTTGGCCAAATCTTTCAATAATTTCTCACACAACAAGAGGCTCATAAAGGGCCTGTATCACTCACGTTTGTTTGACGGAAATTGCTTTATCAAACTCAAGGCAAAGGAATTCTAAATGTTTATATCTATTTTCCCATTTGCCAAAACCCCTCGGTCAAAAAACCCTCCATACAAAGTCTACTTTACCCTAATATTCCAACAGCCACAGAAGGGTTTTAAAATCAAATTATTCACCCTAGAATAATTCTAACCAAATTTGGTCAAAATCCAGACTTGATTAGTAGTGTTTTAACCCTTTCGGTGCCGTAGGCGACTAAAGTCGACATGCAGACAGGCCGATGTAGGCGACTAAAGTCGACATGCAGACAGGCCGCCGTAGGCGACTATGGTCAACAATTTTTCCAATGTTTTCGTATTTTTTTTCCGGGAAATATTTGGCGCTGAGCTGTACATTGTAAGAGATAATTATATAAACCTGGAACTAGGAACTGGGAACTTAGGCAGACGACAGCTGCCACAGTACAGCATAAGGTCACCATGGTCTTTTGGACAATAAGGACCTCCAAATTACAGCATAAGGTCACCATGGTCTTTTGGACAATAAGGACCTCCACGGTACAGCATAAGGTCACCTTGGTCTTTTGGACAATAAGGACCTCAACAGTGCAGCATAAGGTCACCATGGTCTTTTGGACAATAAGGACCTCCACGGTACAGCATACGGTCACCTTGGTCTTTTGGACAATAAGGACCTCCACGGTACAGCATAAGGTCACCATGGTCGTTTGGACAATAAGGACCTCCACAGTACAGCATAAGGTCACCTTGGTCTTTTGGACAATAAGGACCTCCACAGTACAGCATAAGGTCACCATGGTCTTTTGGACAATAAGGACCTCCACAGTGCAGCATAAGGTCACCTTGGTCTTTTGGACAATAAGGACCTCCACGGTACAGCATAAGGTCACCATGGTCGTTTGGACAATAAGGACCTCCACGGTACAGCATAAGGTCACCTTGGTCTTTTGGACAATAAGGACCTCCACGGTACAGCATAAGGTCACCTTGGTCGTTTGGACAATAAGGAATTCCATGGTACAGCATAAGGTCACCTTGGTCTTTTGGACAATAAGGACCTCAACAGTACAGCATAAGGTCACCTCGGTCACTTGAACAATAAGGACCTAATAAAAATATGTTGTAAACCACATACTATTTCCTGCCTGTATGGAAGTCTAAAATATTTCAAAACATTTTCAAGCCAACAATTCTGTGAGATAACTTATAATATAGTTATATATAACACATCACACAAAGACATGACAGAGGTGTATCTACTGAAAAGCCTGACAATCATAGTGTTTTGTTTAAATCATCTTTCCAATAAAAGTTGCCAAATCCTATGTTCATATTTCCTCCCGAAGAGCATGTCTTTTCTCATGAATCATATTCTGCTTGACATCTATCTTAAATATGATGAAAGAAATGAGTGATAAACTGACCAGTCATCACCTTTCTCTGTCAAAAAATATCACTTCAGCAAAAGTGTCAGAATGCAGATACTGCTATTAATATCTGCCTCGAGTAAGAGAAAGTAAGAGAAAGCAATCGAAATGACTGAGAAAGGAAATTGGCTATTGAAGGATGAGGCTTAGATGAAAAGGGTCTCTGCATCAGCAATCCACTGTATATATAAACCTGTTCTTGTTAAAAAATTATAAAAACGAAATCGAAACTGATAAGACTGAAAACATCATATCATGAAGTTCTATAGGAATCTCCACACTCACCAAGTTCAGACGTCTTCATACTCGTAAAGTACTACTGAAACTTGTGTAAAGATGTTCACACCTATACACAAACCTGAGTATCTAATCACACTCTAGTGTCTTCTATCAATAATACCAATTAAAATCAAATTCTCACACAACCATGTGACTGCTTTCTTACATGCATACAAGGTATAAGAAATGGTTATATGATTATCAACATACAAATTTATGGTTAAATATTAATTTTTTACATTCGAAACATTTTACAAGAATCTTGTCCCCATATAGTTTGTCACTCCAGTTGGATGGGAAATAATATGATCGGCACAGCAGTAATCCCCAAAAACTAAAACAATCAAAAACAGAGTATAAAAAATACCTTCAACTGATCAATATTGCTCCCAATGATACTAAAAGCTTCACACCTTACAATTCCCTTTATCTGCAAACACAAGACGAATATTGATAAAGCATTAAAATATCAGGACATACTAAAACCAACATCTTTAATAGCTTAATCACTATATACAATTTTCTTCTATTAAGTTGACATTCTTGTCTTACAAACAAGTGTTTTATTTCTTTTACAATATATACACATCCACTATACATCACAAAGTCTCCAACAACTCTGGCCTTCAACCAGACATGGCGATTTAGTCAGTATATCCTAAGTGTATGCAGTCCATTGATTAATGAAGGTCAGCCACGTTTTCACGTAGATTAAGTACAATAGGAAATACCAGATCTAAATTATGTACAGTGTAGGCCCTGCTAATGTACATGCAGTGTAGGCCCTGCTAATAATGTAGGCCCTGCTCATGTACAGGTACAGTGTAGGACCCACTAATGTACAGATAGTGTAGACTCCATAGAGTACAGGTTCATTGTGGGCCCTGCGAATATACCATGTATGCCCAGCTGGTGTACAGGAACATTGTTGACCCCACTAGTGTACAAGTAGAGTGTAGGGCCTGCTAGTGTACTGGTACAGTGTAGGCCCCACTAATGTACAGGTACAGTGTAGGCCCCACTAATGTACAGGTAGAGTGTAGGCCCTCCTAACATACCGGTACAGTGTAGGCCCCACTAATGTACAGGTACAGTGTAGGCCCCACTAACATACAGGTACAGTGTAGGCCCTGCTAACATACAGGTACAGTGTAGTCCCCACTAACATACAGGTACAGTGTAGGCCCTGCTAACATACAGGTACAGTGTAGGTCCTGCTAACATACAGGTACAGTGTAGGCCCCACTAATGTACAGGTACAGTGTAGCCCTGCTAACATACAGGTACAGTGTAGGCCCTGCTAACATACAGGTACAGTGTAGGTCCTGCTAACATACAGGTACAGTGTAGGCCCCACTAATGTACAGGTACAGTGTAGCCCTGCTAACATACAGGTACAGTGTAGGCCCCACTAATGTACAGGTACAGTGTAGCCCTGCTAACATACAGGTACAGTGTAGGCCCTCCTAACATACAGGTACATTGTAGGCCCCACTAATTTACAGGTACAGTGTTGGCCCCACTAACATACAGGTACAGTGTAGGCCCCACTAACATACAGGTACAGTGTAGGCCCTGCTAACATACAGGTACAGTGTAGGCCCCACTAATGTACAGGTACAGTGTAGGCACCACTAATGTACAGGTACAGTGTAGCCTTGCTAACATACAGGTACAGTGTAGGCCCTGCTAACATACAGGTACAGTGTAGTCCCCACTAACATACAGGTACAGTGTAGGCCCTGCTAACATACAGGTACAGTGTAGGTCCTGCTAACATACAGGTACAGTGTAGGCCCCACTAATGTACAGGTACAGTGTAGGCCTGCTAACATACAGGTACAGTGTAGGCCCTGCTAACATACAGGTACAGTGTAGGTCCTGCTAACATACAGGTACAGTGTAGGCCCCACTAATGTACAGGTACAGTGTAGCCCTGCTAACATACAGGTACAGTGTAGGCCCCACTAATGTACAGGTACAGTGTAGCCCTGCTAACATACAGGTACAGTGTAGGCCCTCCTAACATACAGGTACATTGTAGGCCCCACTAATTTACAGGTACAGTGTTGGCCCCACTAACATACAGGTACAGTGTAGGCCCCACTAACATACAGGTACAGTGTAGGCCCTGCTAACATACAGGTACAGTGTAGGCCCCACTAATGTACAGGTACAGTGTAGGCACCACTAATGTACAGGTACAGTGTAGCCTTGCTAACATACAGGTACAGTGTAGGCCCTGCTAACATACAGGTACAGTGTAGGCCCTGCTAACATACAGGTACAGTGTAGCCCTGCTAACATACAGGTACAGTGTAGGCCCCACTAATGTACAGGTACAGTGTAGCCCTGCTAACATACAGGTACAGTGTAGGCCCTATTAATGAACAGGTAAAGTGTAGGCCCCACTAATGTACAGGTACAGTGTAGGCCCCACTAGGTACAGATACAGTGTAGGCCTTACTAACATACAGGTACAGTGTAGGCCCCACTAGGTACAGATACAGTGTAGGTCCTACTAACATACAGGTACAGTGTAGGCCTTACTAACATACAGGTACAGTGTAGGCCCCACTAGGTACAGATACAGTGTAGGCCCTACTAACATACAGGTACAGTGTAGCCCTGCTAACATACAGGTACAGTGTAGGTCCCACTAACATACAGGTAGAGTGTAGGCCCTACTAGTGTGCAGGTACAGTGTAGCCCTGCTAACATACAGGTTAAGTGTAGGCCCCACTAATGTACAGGTACAGTGTAGGCCCCACTAGTGTACAGGTACATTGTAGTGACGATCATCCTCTGCCAGCAGACTGATAATTGGCTGTTGGTTGTCATCATTGTCTGGATAGTAGGACACAAAATCATCCTGGCCAAACTGACTGAGGCGGAACACACATATACGGACTCCAAGTACATGTCCTAGTAGAAACATTTCCACCTGAAACAAACAACAAAATTTTCATATTTGGATACATAAAATAAAAGGATAAAGGCTCCAATCTGTTATCAATACACAAATGGTACCTGTTCTAGACAAGACAAGTATTTATATTCTTTAGACTCACCTGCTCAAGGCCTGCTGTAGCTCCGACACAGTTGAGGTGATTAGTGACAAATTTAGCAGGTGTATCAGATGTGTCCCTTGCAAATAAGAGCCACACAAACAAGGGAACATCAGCTCCTGTCTGACTTTTGTTGTAAAGGCGCACTCCTTCAAGCAGCATTAGCAGTTTCACACCTTCCATCAGCATCACGTCACCAGCAGGATCAGAGTTCAGCAAGGACATAGCCCAAAGACGGCGCTCTTCATACAATGACATCTGCTCCACATCCTCAAACTGTAAATCGCAATGCAACAATTGGAAATGAAATGATTAAGGGAATGACATCAATCAACAGACACCAAAATATCAATCTAAGGATGACTCAAAACTCTTGGGAAAACCACCATCATCAGAAATTTCTTAAAAGACTCTTTGATATTGTAGTCTGTAGGAAAGATATACTAAATATGAGGTACACAAAAAGTGGTAGAACTCAAGGCCCTGCCGAGGGCTGACCATGAGGGACACAAAAAGTGGTAGAACTCAAGGCCCTGCCGAGGGCTGACCATGAGGGACACAAAAAGTTGTAGAACTCAAGGCCCTGCCGAGGGTTGACCATGAGGGGCACAAAAAGTGGTAGAACTAAAGGCCCTGCCGAGGGCTGACCATGAGGGACACAAAAAGTGGTAGAACTCAAGGCCCTGCCCAGGGCTGACCATGAGGGACACAAAAAGTGGTAGCTTTCAAGGCCCTGCCGAGGGCTGACCATGAGGGACACAAAAAGTGGTAGAACTCAAGGCCCTGCCGAGGGCTGACCATGAGGGACACAAAAAGTGGTAGAACTCAAGGCCCTGCCGAGGGCTGACCATGAGGGACACAAAAAGTGGTAGAACTCAAGGCCCTGCCGAGGGCTGACCATGAGGGACACAAAAAGTGGTAGAACTCAAGGCCCTGCCGAGGGCTGACCATGAGGGACACAAAAAGTGGTAGAACTCAAGGCCCTGCTGAGGGGTGACCATGAGGTTGGCATATTTCTGTCCTACAGACACACAAAATGAAGAGAATTTTTCTCTCATTTTCAAACATCATAATATCAAAAACAGTCGTAACTTATCTCTGCTGAACTCAAACGGTCAACATGATTTCTGAATTTAAACTTTTTCAACGATGCATTTTGTAAAAAGATGACAGCAAAAACATGATTCTCCATACCCATATTTAGAAAACATAGTTTGTATTAAAGAATGTCACCTCAACATCAAGCAACACCAATATCTGTATTCAAGGACTGGTTGTCTCCTTATATGGAGTAGTGTGTCTGATCTGTGAAGTCATGCGTGAATAGTCTCGACATTATTTTTACTATGTATCTGTGAAGCTATGCGTGGATAGTCTCAACATTATTTTTACTATGTATCTGTGAAGCCATGCGTGGATAGTCTTGACATTATTTTTACTATGTATCTGTGAAGCCATGCGTGGATAGTCTCGACATTATTTTTACTATGTATCTGTGAAGCCATGCGTGGATAGTCTCGACATTATTTTTACTATGTATCTGTGAAGCCATGTGTGGATAGTCTCGACATTATTTTTACTATGTATCTGTGAAGCCATGCGTGGATAGTCTCGACATTATTTTTACTATGTATCTGTGAAGCCATGCGTGGATAGTCTCGACATTATTTTTACTATGTATCTGTGAAGCCATGCGTGGATAGTCTCGACATTATTTTTACTATGTATCTGTGAAGCCATGTGTGGATAGTCTCGACATTATTTTTACTATGTATCTGTGAAGCCATGCATGGATAGTCTCGACATTATTTTTACTATGTATCTGTGAAGCCATGCGTGGATATTCTTTTTTACTATGAGTGTGATATACATATACATGTAGTCTTAAGTCACTGCTTGTATCTGGCACGTTAAGGTTCAGTATTATTGAACATTAAGCCACTAATATGTTGATTTATAATCTTACATTACATAACTTTTTTTTTTGTAACTTTTTATTTTTTTCTTCAAACAGGATACATTGCAAGACAATAAACATACCACACTTTCTCATTTATATTTTATATCCCATTCAGCTTTTCTTCTTTCAGTCACTCATCATACACCTACATTCATACATCACCTTCACTTCATCTATACAACACTCCCAACTGGTATATTAATTATATAGAATATATTCATTCATCCTTCACCTATACTACATTCACTCATATTTCACCTGCACCTCATTTATATAACAAAAACACTCATAAAAGATTGATTCACTTATATTTCATACACTACATTTTCACTAATTCTTCATATATATATCATACACCTATACAAACTCCCCTGAAGGATGTGTTCACTCATTTTTCCACTATGTATACATATTCACTCATTCTTTACCTATACAACACCTATACAAACATTCTTACATGTTATTATCACTCATACTTCACCCACTCAAAAAACACAGAACAAATACACATAACTACATAAAAGGAATATATCTCAGAAGGAGAAAGAGAGGAGAGAGAGAGAGAGAGAAGAGAGAGAGAGAGAGAAATTAAGAGGGAGCTGCCTGGGAATGTATAACCACATACTAGAAACACAAATTTATGATGCTAAGTTATCTCAATTAACTTTTCCCATTTCCTCCATACTTTTTAAAACTCATTCAGTACCAGATTCCCTTTTCCAGTAGCTATGAATTTCTGGACACAATATGTTTCCTTAATTAGATTCTTGAGACCATGAATAGATAATTCCGTTTTTAAACATCTAGAGCTATAGATGTACTGTTTCATTATCAATATTATTGTGTTGTCCACTACAAAATTGATATTGTTCCTATTCAATATTCCAAATAAAAAGGATTCTTTATTATATGCAAAAGGTATTGAAAGACTGTCCACAAGATATTCAAAATTCTGTAAAAATCTTTGTACTTTTTCACATTCCCATAGGGCATGAATAATTGTTTCTGGTTCTGTTCCACACTGGAAACAGGAAGAACTATTTTCTATCCCTATTTTTGATAGGTAAGTGTTAGTAGTTAAAATATGCTGATTTATCCTATACTGTAACCAGTGTAATTTGGTATTTTTTGTTACTTTAAAAGGCAATTTGTATATTTGTTTCCATTTTTCGTCACTGTATACAAACATGGTGTTCCATTTTTGTTTACCTGTAGACAATGTATTGTTGTGACATAATAAAAGATAAAAATCTTTTGATCCTTTTTTATTTTTAAAGTAAATCTCAAAAGCCTTTGGTAACTATGGGTATACAACTGGATGATTGGTAATATCTGTGTCAGAAATAAGCTTTTTAACAATATGAATTACCCCCTGATATTCTAAAAAATTAGTTGGCACGCCATATCTGGTTACAAATTCCTGAAAACTATAGAAGACTCCTGAATTAATATTCTTTATCAAATCATTAATTATCATAACCCCTTTGGAGTACCATTTCTTATAAAAAAGCGTCTTGTCCCCCACTCTTATCTTATTGTTATGCCAAAGTGGTGTTTTTAATATTGATGTTGTCTTATTTGAGAAAAGTTCCTTTGTCCGGCTAAGTTCTATGTGAGCTTTAAAGACATCTTTCCAAAACTGATTTTTACATATTTTGAGGTATTCATTTATAAATTGTGGTCCACAACTCATTAACATAGTTATATCAATGTTTACATTACATAACTTGATATTACTACATCAAGTTGCATTGTAACAGTAGGAACGAGTCAGCTTATGCTCAGAGCTGTTGATCAAGTACAATGAACCATGATGACATGTGAAATCTAAGACTTGTTAGGTGATGGTAATCATTATATGTACTGTGACAACAGGTGTGATATAACACTTGTTAGGAGATGATAATTATCACAAGTGGCACAGGTACACAGAATAACAAACTTATTACTGTATGGGCCTTGAGCTTGATGTACAGATTTCATGAGAGTATAGATCATTTGGTGTAAAATTTGTATTGACAGACCTACTAAATATACTAAATGGACTCATTATTAGTACATAAAATCAAATAGCCACTCCAGGCAAGATCTACAAAAATAATACATAATGGTATGTGTAACTCCAGCCACATTGTTCACTTGACACTTTATCCATACCTTGGAGAATAAGTAAGTAAGGCAGGCTTTCATCTGTGACAGTGGTTCCTGTGGGGCAAGACGACCAGCAAAGTTCCAGTTGCTGAGATTGGAGGCAGGATCAGTAAAAGTCCTTTCTAGGGTAGAAAGGGTGTCATCAAGTGATCCCCACATACCCCTCAGACTGAGCATATCACACAAACACTGGAACACACATCCACGGATCCCACAGTAATTGTCTCCCCTTATCTGCTGCAGGCTCTGACAGTTGGTTACCGTGAATACCTCTGTGTAGGCCTAACAAAGGCAAAGCAAAATATCACTCTTCTCTCTAAAATTTATTTTTATCAAGATTTCAATTTAGATTCAACCAGCATTTACAGATAAAACACTAAAGTTAAGTGTTCTATTCAGCAATGCACAGATGTATCTATATGTTTGTGAACAATGTCAGTTGGTTCTGTATGAAGAAGAAACAAGACATATCTATTTTTGGCTGCCATGTTATAAATTTCTTATCAAGCTCAAATGAAATAAGCAAACAAAAAGAACAAAAAGATCTTCAAGGAAGTCATAGAATAAATACTTTATATATATGTATAAAGTAACCAACAACTCCATGTCATATTTAAAATGTCTTCCTGGTGACAAAATCAATACAAGAAGACCCAGCTTTTTCTCAGATAGAACATGTACAAATAAGAATTTAACGTGAATAATTCCATCCAAGTGACCTGAATGTAAATAGGTACATATTCTGTTTAGGGAGCCTCAGAGCTTCTAAATTTGATCCACTTGCATTTTGGTAGCTCCTAATTCTTTAAATTAGTCTCTTATATGAGTATGCACAACTACTAACGTTTTTTTCAACACCTGATTTAAGGTATTGCATCGTTTGCAAACCAACTTCTTTATAATCATATATACAGATGTAAAAACGCTCTAATATGTACCTGTTTGATGGTAATGGCTTTCTCTGTTTCTCCTCTCCATTCTTGCTCAGCATATTCCAACATATTCACATGTTCCCCAACTTGGACCTGACCTGTGGTTATCAAAATTTTATCATTTTGAATATGTCAGTTTTGTCCTCAGATAAGATATACTTGGTTACTGTCGTCCCAGAGAAGTGGTTCCCTCAAATAACTGATTCTAACTGTAATATTTCCTCGCTGAAGATTATATAGTACATCAATACATAAATCACAGTTGTCAAAAACAAAAATAATCTTGACCTAATAACCTACATACAGTACTCACTGATTTGACTTCCAAATGACCTTGACCTAATAAGACCCACACACTGTACCTTATGTAATCATGAAGAATCCCTAGTTGTACTGAAACTTAATCATCAAAAATCTCTAGTTATACTGACACCTAAATATGAGAATCTCTAGTTATACTGAAACTTGATCTTCAGGAATCTTTAGTTATACTGAAACTTAATCATGAAGAATCTCTAGTTATACTGAAACCTAAACATGAAGATTCTCTAGTTATACTGAAACCTTATCATGGAGAATCTCTAGTTATACTGAAACCTTATCATGAAGAATCTCTAGTTATACTGAAACCTAAACATGAAGATTCTCTAGTTATACTGAAACCTTATCATGGAGAATCTCTAGTTATACTGAAACCTTATCATGAAGAATCTCTAGTTATACTGAAACCTTATCATGAAGAATCTCTAGTTATACTGAAACTTAATCATGAAGAATCTCTAGTTATACTGAAACCTTAATCTCTAGTTATACTGAAACCTTATCATGAAGAATCTCTAGTTATACTGAAACCTTATCATGAAGAATCTCTAGTTATACTGAAACTTAATCATGAAGAATCTCTAGTTATACTGAAACTTAATCATGAAGAATCTTTAGTTATACTGAAACCTTATCATGAAGAATCTCTAGTTATACTGAAACCTTATCATGAAGAATCTCTAGTTATACTGAAACTTGATTGTGAAGAATCTCTAGTTATACTGAAACCTTATCATGAAGATTCTCTAGTTATACTGAAACCTTATCATGGAGAATCTCTAGTTATACTGAAACCTTATCATGAAGAATCTCTAGTTATACTGAAACCTTATCATGAAGAATCTCTAGTTATACTGAAACCTTATCATGAAGAATCTCTAGTTATACTGAAACCTTATCATGAAGAATCTCTAGTTATACTGAAACTTAATCATGAAGAATCTCTAGTTATACTGAAACCTTATCATGAAGAATCTCTAGTTATACTGAAACCTTATCATGAAGAATCTCTAGTTATACTGAAACCTTATCATGAAGAATCTCTAGTTATACTGAAACTTAATCATGAAGAATCTCTAGTTATACTGAAACCTTATCATGAAGAATCTCTAGTTATACTGAAACTTGATAGTGAAGAATCTCTAGTTATACTGAAACCTTATCATGAAGATTCTCTAGTTATACTGAAACCTTATCATGGAGAATCTCTAGTTATACTGAAACCTTATCATGAAGAATCTCTAGTTATACTGAAACCTTATCATGAAGAATCTCTAGTTATACTGAAACCTTATCATGAAGAATCTCTAGTTATACTGAAACCTTATCATGAAGAATCTTTAGTTATACTGAAACTTAATCATGAAGAATCTCTAGTTATACTGAAACTTGATCTTCAGGAATCTTTAGTTATACTGAAACCTTATCATGAAGAATCTCTAGTTATACTGAAACCTTATCATGAAGAATCTCTAGTTATACTGAAACTTAATCATGAAGAATCTCTAGTTATACTGAAACTTAATCATGAAGAATCTCTAGTTATACTGAAACTTTATCATGAAGAATCTCTAGTTATACTGAAACTTGATCTTCAGGAATCTTTAGTTATACTGAAACCTTATCATGAAGAATCTCTAGTTATACTGAAACTTGATCTTCAGGAATCTTTAGTTATACTGAAACCTTATCATGAAGAATCTCTAGTTATACTGAAACTTGATCTTCAGGAATCTTTAGTTATACTGAAACCTTATCATGAAGAATCTCTAGTTATACTGAAACCTTATCATGAAGAATCTCTAGTTATACTGAAACCTTATCATGAAGAATCTTTAGTTAAACTGAAACTTGATCTTCAGGAATTTTTAGTTATACTGAAACTTGATTGTGAAGAATCTTTAGTTATACTGAAACCTAATCATGAAGAATCTCTAGTTATACTGAAACCTTATCATGAAGAATCTCTAGTTATACTGAAACTTTATCATGAAGATTCTCTAGTTATACTGAAACTTGATTGTGAAGAATCTTTAGTTATACTGAAACCTTATCATGAAGAATCTCTAGTTATACTGAAACTTGATTGTGAAGAATCTCTAGTTATACTGAAACCTTATCATGAAGAATCTCTAGTTATACTGAAACCTTATCATGAAGAATCTCTAGTTATACTGAAACCTTATCATGAAGAATCTCTAGTTATACTGAAACTTGATTGTGAAGAATCTCTAGTTATACTGAAACCTTATCATGAAGAATCTTCAGTTATACTGAACTATGATTGTGAAGAATATCACTATCTCTTGATAGAAGTTACTGGAAAACAGACCTGACATACTAATTAATGGTGATCCATCTACCTGTACAAAACGGACCTGACATACTTATTAATGGTGATCCATCTACCTGTAGAAAACAGACCTGACATACTTATTAATGGTGATCCATCTACCTATAGAAAACAGACCTGACATACTAATTAATGGTGATCCATCTACCTGTAGAAAACAGACCTGCTAATCCATGGTGATCCATCTACCTGTACAAAACAGACCTGCTAATTCATGGTGGTCCATCTACCTGTACAAAACAAGCCTGATATTAATGGTGATCAATCTACCTGTACAAAACAGACCTGACATACTAATTAATGGTGATCAATCTACCTGTACAAAACAGACCTGTTAATTCATGGTGATCCATCTACCTGTACAAAACAGACCTGATATTAATGGTGATCAATCTACCTGTACAAAACAGACCTGACATACTAATTAATGGAGATCCATCTACCTGTACAAAACAGACCTGACATACTAATTAATGGTGATCAATCTACCTGTACAAAACAGACCTGCTAATTCATGGTGATCATTCTACCTGTAGAAAACAGACCTGACATACTATTTAATGCTGATCTACCTACCTGTACAAAACAGACCTGATATTAATGGTGATCCATCTACCTGTACAAAACAGACCTGACATACTAATTAATGGTGATCCATCTACCTGTAGAAAACAGACCTGACATACTTATTAATGGTGATCAATCTACCTGTAGAAAACAGACCTGCTAATTCATGGTGATCCATCTACCTGTAGAAAACAGACCTGACATACTAATTAATGGTTATCAATCTACCTGTACAAAACAGACCTGACATACTTATTAATGGTGATCAATCTACCTGTACAAAACAGACCTGCTATTAATGGTGATCAATCTACCTGTAGAAAACAGACCTGCTAATTCATGGTGATCCATCTACCTGTAGAAAACAGACCTGACATACTAATTAATGGTTATCAATCTACCTGTACAAAACAGACCTGACATACTTATTAATGGTGATCAATCTACCTGTACAAAACAGACCTGCTATTAATGGTGATCCATCTACCTGTTCAAAACAGACCTGCTATTAATGGTGATCCATCTACCTGTACAAAACAGACCTGACATACTAATTAATGGTGATCCATCTACCTGTAGACAACAGACCATTGTAGTAGAGTTATTGCCCTCATACACCTGTAGACAACAGACCATTCTAGTAGAGTTATTGCCCTCATACACCTGTAGACAACAGACCATTCTAGTAGAGTTATTGCCCTCATACACCTGTAGACAACAGACCATTGTAGTAGAGTTATTGCCCTCATACACCTGTAGACAACAGACCATTCTAGTAGAGTTATTGCCCTCATACACCTGTAGACAACAGACCATTCTAGTAGAGTTATTGCCCTCATACACCTGTTGCTGATTGACTCTGTGTACAAATTTGCATGTTACTTACTTGCTGAGGTTTGGTCAATTCTGGGATAGTTTTCTTCTCCTGTGCCATCATTAAAGGAGTCTGTCTCTAGGTCATCGCATGTTGTGTGGCCATTCTCGCTATCTGCTGCAGAAAAGCCATTGCTGCTCTCTTCTTTTTGCACAATGACATTTCCTGTGTCTTCTTCAGCTATGTCCTTGAATTGTGAATTAACAGGTAAATTTCCAGGGTCCATGTCATAGTACTCCCATGACAAGTCAACACTGTCTGAGTGAATGTGCTGTGGACTGAAGGAAGAATCACTGTGAGATTGACTAGAATTCCCAGACACACAATGTCTTAGCTTCTTGTTACTCAGTAAGGCATCATTCTGTACACGCACAGGAGAAGCAGGAACTGACTTTGACTCTGTGTCTACACACAAACTGGGAAGAGTGGTCGCATTACCACCACTTGTATTAGCTGACTTACTCATAAGTTCTGCCAATTTGGTATTTAAAGATATAAACTCCTCATCTAAATGACCAATCTCCCCTTCTATTTTAGAAAACTCTTGTTCAGCTAATGAGCCTTCAATGTTAAAAATCTCACTATCAGAGGTTGCCAGATCAGATAGACTCTCCTGACGACTGGACACACCACTACTTGTTGCTCGGTGGTATGGTGAGATGTCAGGAGAAGTCTCCAGTGATGTAGAATTACTTCCCCCTGTTGTATATTCATGGAGTCGGTGTAACAGGGACTGTTGGAAACATCGGTCAAACTTTCTGTCACTGTGACGGGACGACATGCTATCAGTTGTTCCCTCGTCATCTACACTCATGTTCCCTGAGGAGCTTGAGTGCCCGTGTACGTGACTATTGGCAGACTTGTACGGAGACGATGAATTGCTATCCCCTGAGGATGTGTTGTATGAATGTGGTTTTGCTGTGTTCTGGATAAAATCCCCTACTGTAGTGTGAATGTGGTTATCCACAGTGTCTATGATTGTAGGGGCATTGTCCAGATTCTCTGTCAAATGTTGCTGTAATGTCTGGTTGTGAAGCATGTTGTTCTTATTGTCCGTGTTCTCCACATTTGTGATGGATGTGTTTGCATCAGGGGCACTGGCATCCTTGTCCTCATCCTGATCCGATATTGACATTGCCCCACTTGAGGACATTATACCAGACATGGCCCCGCTTGAGGACATTGGACCAAATGCAACATAATTTTCCACAACAGATTTGTCTGTCTCATTACTACTAGTAGGGGTAGTACTGTGAGTTATCCCCCTTGAATTTGTTATATGTGCGTAGGCTAAAGCTTCCTCCTCTGATGGTGGGGTGAGGAGAACCGAACAGTCAACAACCCCAACTCTAGAATTTTCAGAACCAGTTGTCTCCCCTTGTGGTATAGTAGTATCCACATTATCTTTCTCTATCGTCACTTCTAACTCTGTTCGGTCATCTGCGACTTTCCTAGGGATACCATTTGTTTCACAAAATTTCTCATGATCAAAGCCATATCTAATATTTCTTTCACTAAGAGAACGGATACTCAGGTTTCCCTTAAGGGACCCCGATTCTCCATCTGACGCATCATGGGATATGTTCAGGAGGTTATCCCCTTCATCACTACTCACACTGACACTATCACGAGGCCTTGGCCTACGTGGCCTTGCCTTATCCGCATTTATAGACTTGCGTTGTTTACGGCGACGCTGACGTGGTTTTGTTGGAGACATTGGGATGTTAGCAGACCGTTCAGGTAAACCTACTACGATGTCCTCACGAGCATTGTAGCGGATCGAAGGAGATTCTTCATTGGACCCAGTGTTACCCATACCGCTCGCTCCTTCGTCATGATTTGTCTCCTACAAATTTAAACAATTTAAAATAAAACAACAAGAAAAAATTCAGAATGTTGGCTTTTTAGAAAAAGTTATCAAAACAAGAAATGTAGGACACCGTTTAACAGGATATAGTTACCAAAACAAGATATGTAGGACACTGTTTATCAGGATATAGATACCAAAACAAGATATGTAGGACACTGTTTATCAGGATATAGTGACCAAAACAAGATATGTAGGACACTGTTTAACAGGATATATTTACCAAAACAAGATATGTAGGACAGTGTTTAACAGGATATAGTGACCAAAACAAGATATGTAGGACAGTGTTTAACAGGATATAGTTACCAAAACAAGATATGTAGGACACTGTTTAACAGGATATAGTGACCAAAACAAGATATGTAGGACACTGTTTATCAGGATATATTTACCAAAACAAGATATGTAGGACACTGTTTATCAGGATATAGTGACCAAAACAAGATATGTAGAACACTGTTTATCAGGATATAGTGACCAAAACAAGATATGTAGGACACTGTTTATCAGGATATAGTGACCAAAACAAGATATGTAGGACACTGTTTATCAGGATATAGTGACCAAAACAAGATATGTAGGACACTGTTTATCAGGATATAGTGACCAAAACAAGATATGTAGGACACTGTTTATCAGGATATAGTGACCAAAACAAGATATGTAGGACACTGTTTATCAGGATATAGTGACCAAAACAAGATATGTAGGACACTGTTTATCAGGATATAGTGACCAAAACAAGATATGTAGGACACTGTTTATCAGGATATAGTGACCAAAACAAGATATGTAGGACACTGTTTATCAGGATATAGTGACCAAAACAAGATATGTAGGACACTGTTTATCAGGATATAGTGACCAAAACAAGATATGTAGGACACTGTTTATCAGGATATAGATACCAAAACAAGATATGTAGGACACTGTTTAACAGGATATAGAGGACACTGTTTATCAGGATATAGTGACCACAACAAGATATGTAGGACACTGTTTAACAGGATATAGTGACCAAAACAAGATATGTAGGACACTGTTTAACAGGATATAGTGACCAAAACAAGATATGTAGGACACTGTTTAACAGGATATAGTGACCAAAACAAGATATGTAGGACACTGTTTAACAGGATATAGTGACCAAAACAAGATATGTAGGACACTGTTTATCAGGATATAGTGACCAAAACAAGATATGTAGGACACTGTTTATCAGGATATAGTGACCAAAACAAGATATGTAGGACACTGTTTATCAGGATATAGTGACCAAAACAAGATATGTAGGACACTGTTTATCAGGATATAGTGACCAAAACAAGATATGTAGGACACTGTTTATCAGGATATAGTGACCAAAACAAGATATGTAGGACACTGTTTATCAGGATATAGTGACCAAAACAAGATATGTAGGACACTGTTTATCAGGATATAGTGACCAAAACAAGATATGTAGGACACTGTTTATCAGGATATAGTGACCAAAACAAGATATGTAGGACACTGTTTATCAGGATATAGTGACCAAAACAAGATATGTAGGACACTGTTTAACAGGATATAGTGACCAAAACAAGATATGTAGGACACTGTTTATCAGGATATAGTGACCAAAACAAGATATGTAGGACACTGTTTAACAGGATATAGTGACCAAAACAAGATATGTAGGACACTGTTTAACAGGATATAGTGACCAAAACAAGATATGTAGGACACTGTTTAACAGGATATAGTGACCAAAACAAGAAATGTAGGACAGTGTTTAACAGGATATAGTGACCAAAACAAGAAATGTAGGACAGTGTTTAACAGGATATAGTGACCAAAACAAGATATGTAGGACAGTGTTTAACAGGATATAGTGACCAAAACAAGATATGTAGGACACTGTTTAACAGGATATAGTGACCAAAACAAGATATGTAGGACACTGTTTAACAGGATATAGTGACCAAAACAAGATATGTAGGACACTGTTTAACAGGATATAGTGACCAAAACAAGATATGTAGGACACTGTTTAACAGGATATAGTGACCAAAACAAGATATGTAGGACACTGTTTAACAGGATATAGTGACCAAAACAAGATATGTAGGACACTGTTTAACAGGATATAGTGACCAAAACAAGATATGTAGGACACTGTTTAACAGGATATAGTGACCAAAACAAGATATGTAGGACACTGTTTAACAGGATATAGTGACCAAAACAAGATATGTAGGACACTGTTTAACAGGATATAGTGACCAAAACAAGATATGTAGGACACTGTTTAACAGGATATAGTGACCAAAACAAGATATGTAGGACACTGTGACCAAAACAAGATATGTAGGACACTGTTTAAACAGGATATAGTGACCAAAACAAGAAATGTAGGACACTGTTTAACAGGATATAGTGACCAAAACAAGATATGTAGGACACTGTTTAACAGGATATAGTGACCAAAACAAGATATGTAGGACACTGTTTAACAGGATATAGTGACCAAAACAAGATATGTAGGACAGTGTTTAACAGGATATAGTGACCAAAACAAGATATGTAGGACACTGTTTAACAGGATATAGTGACCAAAACAAGATATGTAGGACACTGTTTAACAGGATATAGTGACCAAAACAAGATATGTAGGACACTGTTTAACAGGATATAGTGACCAAAACAAGATATGTAGGACACTGTTTAACAGGATATAGTGACCAAAACAAGATATGTAGGACACTGTTTAACAGGATATAGTGACCAAAACAAGATATGTAGGACACTGTTTAACAGGATATAGTGACCAAAACAAGATATGTAGGACACTGTTTAACAGGATATAGTGACCAAAACAAGATATGTAGGACACTGTTTAACAGGATATAGTGACCAAAACAAGATATGTAGGACACTGTTTAACAGGATATAGTGACCAAAACAAGATATGTAGGACACTGTTTAACAGGATATAGTGACCAAAACAAGATATGTAGGACACTGTTTATCAGTATATAGTGACCAAAACAAGATATGTAGGACACTGATATTGACCAAAACAAGATATGTAGGACACTGTTTAACAGGATATAGTGACCAAAACAAGATATGTAGGACACTGTTTAACAGGATATAGTGACCAAAACAAGATATGTAGGACATAACAGGATATAGTGACCAAAACAAGATATGTAGGACACTGTTTAACAGGATATAGTGACCAAAACAAGATATGTAGGACACTGTTTAACAGGATATAGTGACCAAAACAAGATATGTAGGACACTGTTTAACAGGATATAGTGACCAAAACAAGATATGTAGGACACTGTTTAACAGGATATAGTGACCAAAACAAGATATGTAGGACACTGTTTAACAGGATATAGTGACCAAAACAAGATATGTAGGACACTGTTTAACAGGATATAGTGACCAAAACAAGATATGTAGGACACTGTTTAACAGGATATAGTGACCAAAACAAGATATGTAGGACACTGTTTAACAGGATATAGTGACCAAAACAAGATATGTAGGACACTGTTTAACAGGATATAGTGACCAAAACAAGATATGTAGGACACTGTTTAACAGGATATAGTGACCAAAACAAGATATGTAGGACACTGTTTAACAGGATATAGTGACCAAAACAGGATCTAGATATGTAGGACACTGTTTAACAGGATATAGTGACCAAAACAAGATATGTAGGACACTGTTTAACAGGATATAGTGACCAAAACAAGATATGTAGGACACTGTTTAACAGGATATAGTGACCAAAACAAGATATGTAGGACACTGTTTAACAGGATATAGTGACCAAAACAAGATATGTAGGACACTGTTTAACAGGATATAGTGACCAAAACAAGATATGTAGGACACTGTTTAACAGGATATAGTGACCAAAACAAGATATGTAGAACACTGTTTAACAGGATATAGTGACCAAAACAAGATATGTAGGACACTGTTTAACAGGATATATATAGGATATAGACCAAATGTAGGACACTGTTTAACAGGATATAGTGACCAAAACAAGATATGTAGGACACTGTTTAACAGGATATAGTGACCAAAACAAGATATGTAGGACACTGTTTAACAGGATATAGTGACCAAAACAAGATATGTAGGACACTGTTTAACAGGATATAGTGACCAAAACAAGATATGTAGGACACTGTTTAACAGGATATAGTGACCAAAACAAGATATGTAGGACACTGTTTATCAGGATATAGTGACCAAAACAAGATATGTAGGACACTGTTTATCAGGATATAGTGACCAAAACAAGATATGTAGGACACTGTTTAACAGGATATAGTGACCAAAACAAGATATGTAGGACACTGTTTATTAGGATATAGTGACCAAAACAAGATATGTAGGACACTGTTTATCAGGATATAGTGACCAAAACAAGATATGTAGGACACTGTTTATCAGGATATAGTGACCAAAACAAGATATGTAGGACACTGTTTATCAGGATATAGTAGATATGTAGATGTAGGACACTGTTTATCAGGATATAGTGACCAAAACAAGATATGTAGGACACTGTTTAACAGGATATAGTGACCAAAACAAGATATGTAGGACACTGTTTATCAGGATATATTTACCAAAACAAGAAATGTAGGACACTGTTTATCAGGATATAGTGACCAAAACAAGATATGTAGGACAGTGTTGATCAGGATATAGTGACCAAAACAAGATATGTAGGACAGTGTTTATCAGGATATAGTGACCAAAACAAGATATGTAGGACACTGTTTAACAGGATATAGTGACCAAAACAAGATATGTAGGACAGTGTTTAACAGGATATAGTGACCAAAACAAGATATGTAGGACACTGTTTAACAGGATATAGATACCAAAACAAGATATGTAGGACACTGTTTAACAGGATATAGTGACCAAAACAAGATATGTAGGACACTGTTTAACAGGATATAGTGACCAAAACAAGATATGTAGGACACTGTTTAACAGGATATAGTTACCAAAACAAGAAATGTAGGACAGTGTTTATCAGGATATAGTGACCAAAACAAGATATGTAGGACACTGTTTAACAGGATATAGATACCAAAACAAGATATGTAGGATATTGGTTAAAAATTTGTAACAAATACAGAAGTGTTATAATGCAAACACAGAACAATTGTTCAATAGGGCCTGTATCACCCATATTGTTTGGTTTAACTGAAAGTACTTTATTTAAACTAAAGGAAAATTATTCAAAAAATTGATATATATATGTTCAACTAGGGCCTGCAACTTCTGCAATGAGGGGTTAAAAGCCACTTACTAAACGAAAAAATAAGGTCAAAACTAACTACTACTGAGAGTTTTATACTTTCACTATAACAATTAAATTTGATGACTATATTCAGTATACAACCCTGTGTGCTTACCACTTGTACAAATATAATCATCACTTACCTTTGAACTTATTGTAAGGTACAAACTGACAGGTTGTTTGTGTATAAAACAATAAAAATTGTTGTTATCTCCAACATACATGATAATACTTTAAATTAACACACAACAGTGCTCAACATCTATAATGTTAGTCAGCAGCTTTAATTTGATATAAAGTGGATTTCTATTTTAATGTATCATAAGACTATTAATAATCTGTTGACTAGACGATAAATGACAAAAACTTCCCTATGAAACTGAATCCTGTGATAATTCCCAGTAGATAATACATGAAGTAGGTTTTCTGATGACTCATAATTTAGGTCACATTTACATAGATACAACAGGATATTACTGTCTCCACATGTGAATCTAGATTACAGTAGATACATGTGTATATACATAACTACTAGCAGTCATTGTTGAGTACATGGTCTGGGTTAGATTGAGTCCAGCCAGTCAAACTCAACCAAATCAATATTCACAATTCAAATCTATATTTTACCATGGAAAGGCCTGCAATGTGTAAAGCGGTAATGATAATGAAACAGAGACTGATAAACCTACCCTTCCTAGTGACCTTTAGCACTCTGATATTTTATCTGTATCATTCTGCAACTCTACATCCTCATTATAACGTCATATATATACTTATGTATTTGGTAGCTACAAGCCAATGTATGACAGTCAACAGGAAACTGGATAGGGGAGGTCACTCTACACTGCTTTTATATGTACATCAGACTTACACAAGTCCCACATGTGTTCCTATAACAATTACATAGATGTTCTACATTATCCTGACTGGTTTAATGGGGGTGATAATGCTAGGTTATTGATTTACAGTATATGTTCTGTGATTATTTCAATTTCAGTCACTCCTTCCATTGGACATTTTCATAAATCTTTATGTGAATCTAAACAAAAGATCCCAGAGGGATCTTCATGCCTATCCATGTTTGATCTTGATTTGATCTTTAAAAGTTGGATTTTTCCTCTGTTTGTCTTTTCTCTTTGTCTATGGTCAATATCATATGAAATTTGAAAACTCCTTTAAACAAATAGTTAAATAATGATATTTAATTCCAATTCCTAGATGGGTCCCTATCCCAAGTGGGCACAACTCGGGACCAATGAGAACATGTCTCTAGAAAAGGACACCAAGAACATCCCTAGAAATAGAAAAACCAACTTAAATTGAAATCCAATATTTTCCGATCAGTCTAAAAATCAAAAGGATACAATCCTTCTCTAGAAAAGAAATTTTAAAAAGATCCATTGATACCAAATCATTACTGTCAAATCTTAGATTTGGTTTTTCTAACCAGTCAAACAAGAGAGCCGTAGACACAATATACGCCACCACAAAATATAAAGATCAAGATAAAATGGCATAAATCTTACAAAAATCAATGAACCGTAAAATCGTCCCTTCTTGCACATCGAACCATTGTATTAGTGACATTGAGTAAGTTTTATTAAAATCTGATCATTAGTTTAGGAGGAGTTGCGTTCACAAAGCTCCACTAAGAGCAAGCTACAGATACGAAGTTGAAAATGGCATAAATCTTACAAAAATCAAAGAACCGTAAAATCGCCCCTTCATGCATATCTACCCATTGTAGTGGTGACATTGAGCAAGTTTCGTGAAAATCTGATGATTATTTTAGGAGGAGTTGCAGTCACAAGGCTCCACTTTGAGCAAGCTACAGGTACAAAGATGAAAATGGCATAAATTTTACAAAAATCAACAAACCGAAAAATCGCTCCTTCATGCATATCTACCCATTGTGGTAGTGACATTGAGCAAGTTTTGTGAAAATCTGATGATTAGTTTAGGAGTTGCGTTCACAAAAAATGGACATACGGACGGACTGACGAACCACGGACGCAGGGCGATTTGAATAGCCCACCATCTGATGATGGAGGGCTAAAAATAAAAGGAGGGTACCAACTCCTGAAGTATGCCAATACTTTATTCTACTGTCATCTACTGGTTGCCACAAGTTTCAGCCTTAAAGACAGGCCACCAGGGCACAGCTTACATGGTGTACATGTAGTTGAAGTTGAAGGAGACAAGAGTTCTTCAAAACTGTATATGTCGCCTGCATAAAATGTCACGGTCACCCAGAAATTGAAGTGGATGTGTAGCGATCAACCATAAAATTGTAATACCAAATTTCATTTCTATAACTTGAAGCATAAAGGGAAAACTGGGCAAAGCAATATTCCTGAGAAATTTTCCAAGTTCAAAGGGACATATCACTGCCAAGAAGGGTTACAGACTGCCAAGAAGTGAACTCGTTGCGTAACTTTTGACCAAGAACTCATATACAAAATTGCATTTCTATAACTCAAAGCATAACCAAAGAAAGTCAAGAAAACAATATTCCAACAGAATTTTCTAAGTTGAAAGGGGGCATAAGTCAGCCAAGAGGGGTCACAGACAGCCGGGAATCAAACTTAATCGGTACCTTTGCAACAAAAAGCCATATACCAAATTTCATTTTGATAACTCCAAGCATAAGCCAAAAAAAGTCTGGAAAACAATATTCCCAGGAAATTTTCTAAGTTGAAAGGGGCTTAACTCTGCCAAAAAGGGTAACAGACAGTCGTGAATCATGCTTAATCTGAACCCTTGCAACAAAAAGCCATATGCCAAATTTCATTTTGATAACTCAAAGCATTACCGAAAAAAGTCTGGAAAACTTCCGTACGGACGCAGACGACGCGTGACGACCAACAAAGTGATCCCTAAGTGTCTGCCAGCTCTGAAGGCAACACAAACACTGAGACCCTGGGGCTGTGAAATTCACAATTTCTGTAAAGTACCTTACAATGCTTCCATCCATAAAGAGTATTAGATTCTACCATATCTGGATGTTGAAGATTTTTGAAATTTAAGTTAATTTTACTCCTATTGGCCCCGCCCCTCAGGCCCCTGTGGGGTGGGAACTGTATAATTCACAATTTTGGTTCAGCTTAGGCCAGAGAAACTTTCTGCAAAATTTCATAGATATCGGATCAGGAGTTTCCAAGTAGTTGAAAATGTTAAACTGTTCATGGATGCACAACACTGGATGAAGGTGACTGTAATAAGTAACCATCAGACTAAAGCAGAAACTAATGAACTGAATCAGAGTTTTATGACAGGGATAAACAAATCAAAGTACTGAAAGTACTGGTATGCTTAGGCCATTAAAAAAATAAATTCTTTGTTATTAACTTGCTATATACTAAAACCAACTATATGCAAGCAGTAAATCATTGCAGCCCATAATCAAAGTACTGAAAGTACTGGTATGCTAAGACCATTAAAAAATAAATTCTTTGTTATTAGCTTGCTATATACTGAAACCAACTATATGCAATCAGTAAATCATTGCAGCCCATAAAAAATGACCAGCAGATATCAGAAATAACAAGCATAGTAGTATTACTTATGTAATACATGTCACAAGTAGGCTCCAAGATGCAATGATAGAGAAGTTGTCCATTTCTTTGGATACATTGTAGGGAATGTTGATCATGGACACCATATCACTTTAAAGACTGTGTATCCTATTGGTTTAAGACCATTAGTTAGACCATCATGCAAATAACATGCTACATACAAATATTGGACAGTTTCATTTTCCAGATTGTTTGTAAATGACTGCATAAGAGTGCCAATTTTCTAAAACAAACATGACTTGTCACCATAACTTAAAATAGAAGATGCCTATTCTTCCAGAAAACCTTGTCTTATTCTCCTTGTACTTTTTCTGGGAATCTTCAAGTAGATATTGACTTTGTTCCAATTTTTCATGTTTATATATTCTTTGTTCTCTAAAACTTGTCACAAGATATTTTATTCCTCTTGTATTATCATTTTTTTTAACATCCTTACAGTGACCTTGAACCTTGAAATTTACAAGATGTGAATATCTTTTAGGTTGTGAAATTTGATAGAAAAACGAGGGTAATACAATGGAAAAACACCCCCATGCAACTATCCGTTTTTTGACTGTGACCTTGATCTTTGATATCTGACCCTGAATTTCTAAAGAAACCGACTTCTCCTTACAAGGGATACATGTTCCAAATTTGATTAAGGTATACTAACCGTCTTGGTCTCAATGCGTTTACAAGGTAATCATATAGTACTGATGCAAGTACTGTGACCTCTACATTCAATCCTCAAAATCATCACTATATCCTCTCCACATTGCCCAGGGATAACTGAAACTGTAATCCAAATGATAACTAATACCCCCATCACCCACAGCCTTAGTTATCTCCCCATGGTGACCTTTTGCAAAAAAACATCCTCTGAAACACAGCGGCATGTGCACATGTTCCCTAATATTCCTGCGAAGTTTTGTTGAAATTGGTCCACAGGTTTAGAAGTTGACCGACATGCAAAACCTGTCTATATTGACCAGATGCCATGGCAATCAATATTTCAAGGGAAAATGGTGCATGCACATCTACACATTGTCCCGAATATTACTGTAGTTTCATTGGAGTTGTCTAGACAAGATGTGATGGACAGATAGACAACTTGATTCGATTTACCCACTCTTTTGGTGGTATAAGAATGCACAAGAGTGCTTACAAATTCCATGTGGACAGACATCATGGAAAAATAATAATGATAATAATAAAAATAAAAACATGATAAAGATGCTTATATCTTGTTTTCTTTATTCAGTATACTTTCCATGCTTTGATCAGCAATGTAATCGTGTCATGTCAATATCCTAGTACAAGATTGCATACACAAAATTGTTGTAGGTAGACTTTCAAGATAAATAAAAAAAAATACATGCCTAAGTTTAAATGAAGGTTTTAAACAGAAGTCGTATTATGTTCAGTATACAGTGATTTTTCTAGACAATTGTAAACTATAAACTCGGTATACAGCGATCTTTTCTACACATTTGTAAACAACAAACTCAGTATGCGGTGATCTTTTCTACAAAAAGTTTTTTTATATATTGTATATACATAACTCAGAAAAAAAAAATAAGTAAACCTTTCTATGTACACTACAAACTCAGTATACAGTGATCCTTTCTACATAAACTTGGTATAACTAGTGAATCTTTCTACTTAAGTAAATTGAAGATTGTAAAGAAATTTACTACAAATGCAGCATACAATGACCTTTTCCACATTTTTTTAGTTTCTGCGATTTGTTGATTCTTCTTTTGTGATGGTAATTATATTGCCGCCTTTAGAGAGTACTGTGACCTTAAAAGGCAACATGGTTGTTAGCATATCCTCAAGTGATTAACCATCTTCAACATCTAATTGGAGGTCGGAAAGAAGGACGTTTTTCTCCACCATAAGGTCCTCAAATCCATTGTTGGTCACAATGGCCAATTCCAAGTTAGAAGAATCAAGAGATACCTTCTACCATTCCAGATTTCATTTCT